ATTTAACAGCAAGATACTGAAGTTCAGGCCAGTAGGTGGCATGGGGGTTAAGGTGCTGGATTCCCATATGGCCGAATGCCATTCAAGTCCCAAACCCGGTGACTTGACTAGCAGAACAATAAATGTGTGTGTGTGTTTTTAAATTTTTTTAGATACTGAAGTTTAAAAAGAGGCCTGTAATGGAGTATACAAATTTAAAAATTAAACATTTTTTTCATCTGCAAGGCACATACACTAGTTATGATGTGAGGGATTGAAAATTAACCCACATTAGCCAGAGAGGTATTAAACTTAAAAAGGACCAAGTGTAATCAACAGGGATTAGTGAAGATAAAGAAAAATGAATTTAAAGTGCTCATAAAATACACTAAAAAATTTTAAAAATGCCTATGTCCTCAAATATAGTGAATATGTCTACAAGTCTGTAATACTTAATTCAGTGTAAAGTATGTTTATAGAAAAATTCTATTGATGGCCTCATTTATTAATATATGTGATAAAGGATATTTAAGAAATTATTGGTGAACTACCTTAGATAACAAAGATAAACAAAACTATCCATTTGTTTTCAAGAGAACTCAGAAATGTTTAGAAGAATAAATGAACAATCGGAGCCCTTTATAGAAAAAATATATACTTTATTTTCAACTAGAAAGGTGCAAACATGTAACTTTTGGTCACACTCTCAACAAATAAACTGTCCAAAAAACAGCCATGGTCAAGTAGAAACAAATGCTTTCAGGTGGAAAAACTGATCAGTTATCTAAAGCTACTCATTGTTTAATAAAGTTTGTTCATTAAAAGTGAGGCTACCACAATTTCTATCTAGAAATGAGACTTCAAGAACATTGGTGCTTCCCCTTTAGCAAATAATCTGTTTTAATGAACTATCATTCTAACTGACCAGAATTTCAAGTTGAGTATCCATTTCATGCTTTGAATTATCAGACAAGCTTTACGTTCTACTTACGGTATATTCAGAAACTGAGGCTAACATTTGAAATATCAAAGCATCGAAAACAAAAACAAAAAAGGCACAAATGACTTTAAATTAACTTAGATAACTGTACAAATATATATATATACACACACACACACACACGCACACACACACACACACACACACACAATATTTACAATATCAATAAAAAAATCTGGCTTGTTACAGGCAAATTAACTTGCCACAAGCTGTCCAGTCTAATAGACAGGATTCTGATTCCTGAATACTGTCACTTGAATCAGAATGTCAGAGCTGAATCTGCTGTTCTGATTTAAAGAACAACTTGACTCAGCCTCATGCTGGTTGGAGAAGGCACATTCTAGCTTTTGCTGGCATCCCAGGTGGGTCAGTAAGCATGCTAAAATCTCCCTTCCCAATGACACTCCAAAGAGCAGGCACGTTACTACTCTAAAATGACATCTGATGGCACTAGCCTTCCCACTGCTCCTAAGACAGGAACTTAGGATACATTCTGGCACTGGGCACTAACAAGAGTTCCACTGTCAAGTCTTAAAATTTCTTCAAACCAGTGTCTGGGGTTGATAGACTATTTGTTTTGACATGGCACAATGAACTTGGTGGGCTATTTTTACCTCAGTTAGAAAAACAGATTTAAATATCTCATGCTACTGAAGTCATTTTTACATGAAAATGAGATGTAAATCAGTTCAAGTCATAGTCTAAGGAGTTAATGTCTCTCACTCTCGGGCTTCATGCCGTGTATGTCTCCATACATCTTCCTGTAGTACAGGGACTCAAAGATGTCATTGTCTCTGGGGCAGTTGTAATGGCAGGCACAGGTCTTGATGAACATCATGCTCTTCTTCATGACTTCGCCGTCGGGACACTTGAACTCCACGGGCAGGGTGGTGGTTCTGTGGGGCGTGCAGCATCGGCCGTCGGTACACACTCCACAGAACTTAGCTCGGTATGTCTTTACACTGGTGCAGCCAGAGAGCTCGAACTTGACAGGCTTGGAGATTTTGGGAGTGCGGATGCACTTTTTTCCCTTCTAAGGAAGACCAGGGAGAAGAGAAAAACCAATTACTCTACAAGAGGAATGACTTTCTTCAACCCTCTGTGTTCTAGTCTCACGCTGTCTGACTTGTGTTTATATTTTGAGGAGAGGAAGTTTGAGTCTCCCTTGCCAGTTTTCCAAAAATAGATATGGCCTCTGTTGGAATGTCTTGAATTAGCTAACACCATGGAGGATTTTTTTTTAGTGGAAAACTGGTAGTTCCTATTACACAATCTCTCATTCCAGCAAAGTAGTTCAATGGTTAGATATTTTGGGGGTTAGTGGGCCTAGAATAACCAGGATGGCAAGACACCTAACTTTGGTCCTTTCCACTATCATTCCATGAAAATTCGTTAAGGGGAGCAGAATATGTACCTTAATGTTCTCTTCCAGGTCTGCTTCACAAGGCCTGACCATGCACAGACGGCTCTGCTTCTCCAGCCTGCAGAAGGCATTGTCGTTGGTAACCCGGGTGGAGATGCCCATCCCGCAGGTCTTAGAACAGGCGCTCCACTCTGTAGTCTGAACCAGGCAGTTGGCTCGAATCATAGTTGGGTCTGGGCCAAATGTGTCTTCCAGTCGGTAGGCTGTGAAGGCAGAGCATACACCACTAGGTAAGACTCCAGCATAAGATGCTTCCCCCTGTCCCTGGCCTGGTGAGGACTCAGTCCCCCAGAGGATCACAACACTGAAAGGAGGAAGATCAACCCACCTGCAAGGGCATGGCCAACCACCGTGTCACGGTCCTTGGGCTCATCACACACCCATTCTTCGCAGCATTTCCCAGGCAGCTTGACCCTCCTCGGGAAGGGGCAGTCAGGGCTGGGCAGGCGAACGTCTATGCTGCACAGGGGCACGCAGCCCACTGCCCCGTCCAGGCAAGTGCACTGGTATTTGCAGCTGCTCTGGAAGGACTCTCCGCTCCGGTACACGGTCCCACCGAAGACGCAGGGGGCACCATCTTTAGCTAAAGGAGAAGATGGGGAAAGGGGAGTGCAGCGGTCAGTCTTGGGTTCCCCTGGCTCTTAACATAAGGGCGTCAGGGATGCAAGTTGGGCTTGGGACTGCAGGAGGCAGGCTGGAAGCAGCTGGAGAAAGAGAGTCAGTTGGAGCGGTTTCTTTTTCTAGCAGGTGGGTGGGCGTCAGGGAAGAGGCAACCTGGACACCAAGTGGTGGCGTCGCAGGTCGAGGGGCTTACCGGTGCACACGCCAATTTTGCGGTTGGCCGGGGAGCCAAAGTCACAGAAGAGGCCCTTGTGCGGATCGCAGGGGTCGCGTTCGGTGCACAGCTCACCCAGCTGCTTGGCGCAGACTCGGCAGCAGCCACAGCCGTCC